CTTTTTTGGTTAGGGTATAAAAAAATTACCAAACTGTACCCTTTTTTGGTTGGGGTCTAAAAAAACTACCAAACGTTGTACCCTTTTTAGTTAAGTGTCTTAAAAAAATTGTTCCACTTAGCAAGAAAAGGAGAAATAGCCAGAGGAAGTAGAGATGTAGATGATACAGGATAAAATACTCCCCCCATGATATTCATTACATGAAGTTAATTTTTCCTCTTTTCGGGGAAGAAAAATGAAAAATTGTATAAGATGACTGTCGCTATCTAGCACATCCCCTAGGATCTTAAGCTCATTGTCACAAGGGCGGTAAGTTGAATATCTTTTTTGAGAGGAGGGGAGGTTGGGGAAAAGTATGAGTGAGATAAACAATGGGGAGCCGGAAGCTTGAGTACGAGCAGGACACCAAGTATTAGGGGTTACTAGAAATAGAGAGAGAGAGAGAGAGAGAGAGAGAGAGAAAGAGAGAGAGAGAGAGAGGGAGGGAAACAGGGTGGCGAAGTAGAGGAATGGCAGGGCAGAAAAGGCGGAAGGCAGACAGGCGGCAGACGCCCTATGCTTATCTTTACCCCCACCTTTTTCTAGTTCGTGACTCACCAAACTGTTAAGGGATGAAGCCACCCTGCTTTTAATATCTATATATACAATACATACTGCTCTCTTCTTCACTGTGTACGCTCACATTTCACCTCATCCTGTCTCTATATACTATACAACATTTTTTACTAGGGAATTCCGTCAAATTTCTGATCGAGATATACGTGATTTATTTTCTAGACTTCAATTAGAATGATAATACCAAATACAGAGAATTCATATGATAATTAATGTTACCAAATTATCAGTTTTTACTTTCTACTTTATCGACAATCGCTTTATCAATTTAAAAGTTGTAGATGGCGCGCAGGAGTTCGAATTAGCAGACGACGCCTTTATAGTCGTTACTAACGATGCTATTCGGGTCCAGTCGGGTACAGATCAGTAACATATTTTGCAAGGGAGAAAACATTAGTTAAATGTTTTTAAGGTGAATTTCTGAGCTATCATAATAACTATTAATTACTTTTTTAAAAACATATCTAGTGTTACGTCTCAGGAGACAAATTAATTTTCTCATTTAAGAATTAAGAATTTTACAACACAATATGCGTCACAAAGACATTTATGGCTACTTCCGATAGTTTTAATCTCGTACATTTTTTGGATAAAAATTCCCTTTCTTGTAGAGAACGAAAGAGGGTTAAATGCAATAATATATTCACCGCATGACCTGGTAAAATTCGTTCTAGATTTATTTTCCTCTAAGGTATCAGCAGATGAACTTCTAATAAACATATTTTTAATTCCCTTGGTCATTTAAGTTTACAACTTATTTTTAATTGAATTGTGTCTGATATAAAAAAAAGAAATAGATGCGTCTCTTTATAATCTGCATAAAGCGCACAATAAAACATCCTTACAAAGTTCGTTCAATTTTGTTTTAGACAATTTTATGAGCGAAAAATTTTACTCTGCTTTTTATGATGTCCCTACAAATTTCATCGAACTTTCAATTACTTTTTCCATACTTTCATTTTATTGTCAAATTCATAAATGTACAGGAAGATACAAAACATCGTGTTGCAAAATAATGTTATGGGAATTTTCCTTTTTAAAATTTAGTATAGTTATTAATTTTAGTATCTAGAGTCACTTTTAGCACTAATCTTATATAATCTACTTTAATTTCAAGAAGCCTGCAACAAAAATTGTCACCTAATTTGTAACGAATTGTACTTGCAGTAAAACTTGATTTTAGAATTTATTCATTTATTTTTAGTAGAAAGATAGAAATTAGGTACTTACTTGTAAACTTATTTCAGTCACGTATGTTTTTCAGAAATTGAAATAGGATTCTTGAACTCGTTCTTAATTAAACATGAAGAGAAGAATAATTAAATACTTTTGCACAGTAATTCTTTTGGAGAAATTAAATTAGTAATTTTCTGTAAGAATTTTACACATTTGACGATTTAGACCCCTAATCGAATTTTTATATTCAAAATCAATTAATTAAATTACTAAACTATCATATTTAAAAGAAAGAAAAAGTACATAGGGTTTTAGCAATTCGCAATTATTTACAGCACCAAATCTTTTATCTCAAATGTATAAATTCAAAAAATAAAATGCAAGATGTAAATGTTAAATTTCTTTTAAATTCTTTCTTTGTCAATACAATGGGAATTTTATTGAGAAATATAGTTGATGAAATATTTGCAGCAATAATGTGCTTGCTCGTTGTAACTCACAGTCCGTCGGATAAACTGCTGGCATTACAAGACATTACAAATTTATGACTGTGCTAGCTGTCAGTCGATAAACAGTGTTTCATCGTTGCTTTAAGTGGCATTCAGACTCAATCCAAAAAAATTTTCAAAAGCAATAGTTTTAAAAGAAAAAGAATTCGTTACTCGAAAAAAAGAAAAAAATCTCTTCTATTCAAAAGAGAAGGTAGAAAGGAGAAATTTCTTTTTTTTTCAAATATTCCGCATTGGAGAATATTATACGAACATAGTATGTTTGAAAAAATCAATGACGTTAGAAATATATTCTAGTTAATTAAAAAAGAAAAGAAAATAGACAACGTTCTTATTCATAAGAGAGCTATTAAACTAAATTGTATTAACTGCTTAAAGCTCAGTAACGTCAGAATTTCATAATCAATTCGCATGTTAGAAACTTTTTATTGCAGGCGTACCAAACTAATATGTGTGTGTGTGTGACAAATGGAAAAAGTGAATGTTCGCTTATATGTCAGGTGTTGTACATTACCTTTTAGTAAACCTTTAACAACCTTTAACAACTATAGCCAATGTGTGTTGGGTGGTATATTCTAAGGAGTGAATAACTGTAGTTATCGGGGAAAGCTACTTATGCCAACGACCCCATAAGTCAAGCAATCACTCTATATTGTGTTTAATAACTCTTGTAATGTTATTCTTTTGTGAAATTTAAATTAAAAGTGGGTTTTTGTCACAGAGTTACAACTTTTGGTCCAGCACTGTAGCAGGTTTGTCAGTACTTTTAGGTTAAGTATTTAAAAAATACATCAGTTTTTAAAAATGGAAATGTAAAAAAATTTTATAATTGAAAGTCAACGATAGCTGAGATATACCAGCGGCTCCTGGCTTTTGTTTTAAGTTTTCTGGTCCAATTACTGAAAGGCCTCATGGAATGGAGGTGAATATGGACCTAGAGATTCCGAGGAATGATTCCTGATTTAGTTAGTGAGAAACCTTCGTAGAAGTAACACTGTTCACTCAAGCTGCAATATATTTAAAAAGTATTTGTAATTAACACAATCGAATTCTATTTTAACGTTTAGATTACTCTGAGTAACGTTATCGATAAGGGCTAAGAGGTTATCAGGAATGATTTATAATTCAGTTTAGGAGAAACCTTCAGAGTGGTAACACTGTCCACTCAAGGTAGTTTGTACTTAAAAAAGGCTTTTGTAATTAACACAATCGAATTCTATTTTAACGTTTGGATTACTCTTACCAATGTCATCCAGATGGACCAGCAGATCATTAGCAATGATTTCTGGTTTACTTAGTGAAAAACCTTCAGAGGTGCAACAATCAATATCAAATTATAAAAAAAGAAGACATGGTATTCAGATTAGAGTAAAATCCCCCTTATTACTATATTTAACTTGTAATGTTATTCTATCATTAATTTTAATTTAAAAATGTGTCTTAGTAACGACTCGACGATTTTTTCTGCATTACATTCTTGAGTATTTGTCTTAGGTTAAATTTACTCACAAAATGCTGCAGTTTTTGGGTAACAGCATATTACAGAAAGTGCTACAATTGCATAATTAACTGTAGGTGGGAAAGTTATCAACGATTTGCGTTTTCTATTTTAATTACTAAAAGGAATATGTATAAAGCATTTATGAACATGAATTTTTAAAAAAAGAATTCGATGTTTGTTCTTTCCCGCAGTGCAGAGAGAGAGTTTTGTATATCCAAAATCCTAAATTGAGTTTTATTACGAAGTAACGAGCAAATGAGAACGAATTCAAGGACGGATAATGGCATATAACTCCATTATCCTATAGAGATATCTGATCTCGAATGTCGCGTTTATACGTTGTACAAATAAATGAGGACAGCTCAAAGTATCCTTTCATCTCAAATGGAAAACATTTCTCGAATTTTTGGAAATTGTTACAAAAATTTTGTAGAGCTAAGAGTTTTTTTTCTGTATTTTACTTATTAATATATTAAAAACAAGGATGATAAGGAAGCTATTAATTTGAAAAGATTTTTAACGTATCTTTTGTAGAGAACGAATGAGGGAATAATAATTTCAGTAGTGATCGTCAGTTATAGTCAGACAGATTCTTTGTGTCTGAGGAGAATCTTTTTCTACTTAGAATTGAGAAGTTTAGGTGTTGAATAAAAGGTTTTGAAGTTTATTTTATGTTTGCGTGTGATGGAACTATTAATCGGTGTGATGGAGAAAATAGTTTTTATACGTAAATTGTCACAATGTAAGAAGTAATATAATTATAAAAGGAAAGTATTTTATTGAATCAGAGGATAACATTTTGGCGGTCCTGCCAGACTGCATAGGAATAAATTCCCTCTGTACTATCGTCGATTACAAACCAATTTATTCTAGGGAAAATATTCGCAATCGAACTAAAAGGAGGATAGACTCGGTAGGGTACTTTACAAATACCTTCGTGAAACAAAATTATTATCGGTTGTTGTCCTTGAAGAAAGAAATTATTTCTAATTCGTTTAAATAGCTCAGAATTTCACCTGATAACACTTTTTCCATTTGAATTCCATCTTTACTAGCACTGACTGTACAAGTTAATAGGTGCTTGTACTTATCACTCGACCCAAACTTGCATCATCCTACCTAACCCTCTATAATTATAAATTAAATAAATTAATTTCCAAATAATTATAAGTAATTATAAATAACTTTTTCTGTTGCAGGGCGTACGTTAAATGGTCAACCTCTCCTGGAATTTTCAATGTCCAGTGGGGATCAAGCTTTAGGGCTTTTAAAAATTAAAAGAGCGACCTTATGGGCCAGGGTCGAATTAAAACATAATCATCACTATCAGCATCACAAACACAGTCAGAGTAACCAAAGAAATATCACTCTCTGGGTGTTCAGGGTACGCTGTGGTAACATGACGCACTTGCGAGGAAAGGTGAGATTTCTTATCATTAAAAAATATTTAAGACACTATACATTTGAATAACTTTTAAAAATGTTAATAAGAAAACTTTCTGTCAAAGGCTCAGAACAAGACTAACAATTGTCCTCCTCCTGCTACCATTTAATCCACTTTAAACTCATACTAATCTTTCAGAATATGTACATGTAATTCTCCCTACGAAAACGTAGGGTTTCTTTCAAGTCAAGAATATTTTAATTTCGAATTTATAACATATATTCTTTTAGATTACAATTAATAAAACAAAAGAATTCTTAAGAGGAGAAAATAGAGGAACTAGTAATAATTTATATAAAAATAATCCTGATCGATTTTAGTTACAAAAAAATTTTTGTATAATTTTAGGAGCTGGGACAACACTTAGAGCTGGTGACGTCTTTAGGATTGAACGTTGTCCAATTGGGGTGGCAAAAATTCGAGGTGACAAAAGTCGTCAGTAATTGGTATCAGGGGAGCGGATATTCGCCAAAGGACAAACTAACGCTCCTAGTAGATTGCACGGGCTGCGGATCGCACGTGCACATTTCCACTTTCGGAGGTCATTCACCTCACGTTGTCGAATCGACCTTGAATACCAAAGGTAATTAAAACTAATCAACACTATTATTTACCGAACATTATCTAACTATACTTTAACACATTATTGTTATATTATTATATAACAATTTAAAAATCAAAATAACTATTTAATTTCTCGTAATATCTCTCTAGCATCATCCTTACACTTCGATAGCTTTCCATAATTTTTTTTACTTCAATTTTTATTGTCTACCTTTTGTTTGAGAATTTTTTTCAAAATGCGTTTTTAGAAAAAAAGTCGCTAAAAATAAGTTTTTCTGTTTAATCAATTATTATATTGTATTTTTATTTTTGTAGGTGCTCAAGATCCGGACAGACCGTTTTTAGTCGTTCGAACGGATCCAGCGGCTGTGAAGCGTGTTAGAAGACGAGCTGTCGAGTGCAGCGGCGCCGTTAGGGGTCAATGTTGCAAACAGAGGTTCTACGTTAGCTTTTCGCAACTCGGATGGGACGATTGGATAATCGCTCCTCAAGGGTGAGCAAATTTTTCAAAATATGTAAAATATAACATCAAAGGGTACCCAAAAAAAAAAAAAATTTTAACATCAAAGAAAATTTACAATCAATTCTAACATCAAAGAAATTCAAATGAATAACGCATCGAAGATAAACTTCATGCAATAAAAAATTTTTTAATATTAAAATTTGCTATTTACATTTTATACACTATAACATTATTAAATGAGAAGAATAATGTTAATATTAAAAAATAATTTTAATTATTGTTAATGGATTGATAGTTAACTGATATTTGAATTGTTTTGGTAAAAGAAACTTTTATATTGACAATGAGGTTGAATTGTATATTTTGTATTTTGTATTGTATTTGTATAATTTTTCCTTTATAGTTAAGTTTGCCACTGACGTATTCGTGGAATGTCAGTAGAATGATAATTAAATGGTTAAACTTTAATTTAAATAAAGAAAATAATATTTATAAAGAAATTAATCTCATCAACAAATTATGTGAAATTGTCTGAATTTAGCTGTTCGATATGTTAATTCTTTCTGATTTATTTTTTAACCAAAAAATATTCTTTTTATAAATAAAAACAATCATGAAAGTTTCTAATAGAAAATATTTTTGAAAAATTGAATCCCCTGTAAATAAAGAAGCTATATATACACCGAATCACATGCAATAAGTTTCTCTCGCAATAACGATAATTCAAAACAAATAAATTTCAAGTAAAAGCTACGGGATCGATGATTAGTATACCACAAAAGGGGGGCTGGATATGTTTTGTACCTTAATACAAGAGAAAACAATCATGTTCTTTTCGGGGGAATCTCGTCAATAGTTTTACTATCAATGTCAGTTACACGTAAGAGTCATTCGTAAGGCATCATGAAATCCATATGCCATACACGAGAGCAATGGCCGCGGCGAGTTTGCGGATTGTTGAACAATTATGTTTGGAGAAGCGCAGAGAAATCATTCAAATAATAGTCTAGAGAATAATGGACAAATATATATATATATTGAAATAAATCGTTAGTAATTTTACATTTGAAACAAAATTTCCAACCAGATTTCATGACTTTAATACTGTTACATATTTAATTTATGAGCAATTTTGGTAAATTTTATTGCTGCATTCAAATTTTCTAGGTTCTTTTTATTCATTTTGAAAAAACTGTTGTTGCATTCCCGATTGGAGTAATTATCAAATGCAAATGACGTCTTATGAGAAAGGTCAAAATTTACAATTATTATTTTTGTAGTGTAAGGTGGGGCTCGAGTAACAGACAACTTTATTTCATAAAAAGACTCTGCTAGATAACATTACCCTCTGGGCGCGGGAATGTTCGTTCTAGAAACTTTCGTAAAACTTATTTAGAACATTGGACGTCATTAAGCCTTTTGGTCCATAGCAGACTTTCGAAAGTCTTCTGATGACTATTTTGTTGATAAGCGGCTAGAGTATACTTTTGGGCTGCTGAGGTACAATTTTGGGTGCGGGACTGGCCAACAGTTGAACAACTGCAAACCAAAGGAGGCACTTCCACAATATGAAGATAACTTTGACAAAAATTACATGACACTCAAGGAGGGACTAAACTGTCTAACATCGCTCATACAATCAGTAAGATCAAAGCATGTAGAAGCAAAAGGGAAAGACAAAAGTCAGTACCAGGGTTTAGTCTAAGCATCAAGAAGCTCATCACAATCATAGATTCAAAAGAAACAAATTTGGATTACCCAAACCAGGTTCAACAAATATTAGCAGAAGCCCTAGGAAAGACAAGATCTTAGGACCCAACCAACCAGGAATGAAGCTCGCGGTTGTATTCACTAACCCAAGGGAAATAGAAAGGCTGGAGATGTTAGGTAACGTAAAAATTGATTTTATGTGCTGCCCAATTAAAAAAAGAATCCAGATTGTTTGTTGCCACCAAATCCGGATTCATGGATAAAGAAAAATTCGGAGATAAGGTTAATACAAACCAAATCGCCGGAAGTGGTATGCGGAGTCTTCAGGTCAGCCCTCGAGGAGGTGAAGAATATTCTCCTAAGGATCAAGAACAAATAGAACATTAGTAACGAAATAGGTCACGTAAGCTAAATTCCAGGGACTTTTTCCTACGAAGTTCAAAGCAGGATTGTAGTTCCATACGAAAAGAAAAGTCCAGCCATAGACAGGAGTGGTTTTTAGTGGGTCGACCAGAACAAAAGCTTGCATTTTATCCAGGTATCTGAATTTACAGATTTTCCCCTTCAGACCATAAAAGAATTTAAAGTCAGATGGTAGTTCTTTAGAAAAAGAAAAGTCCAGCAAAAGATTGGAGAGGATTTTACTGGTTCTATTAGAACAAGAACCTTGTATTTAATCCAGGTATTTGAATTTACAGATTTTCCACTTCAGACCACAAAAGAATTTAGTCAGATGATGGTTCTGTAGAAGAAGAAGTCGGACGATAGTTCCGTCAAGCTAAAGAACAGTTTTTACCAGATCGCTCAGAAGAATATGGGTTAAGCTAGAGATTCCTGATGCTAATTGTCTTTTTGAAAACAGCGAAGTCTGCAGACTTTAGGGACACCAGCAGAATGTATAATGGTGACCCAACAATCATGATATAAAGCTGACTGTTGTAGTCACGAACTTGGAAGGAGATGAAAAGCCAGAAGAGAACGAGAAGTAGAAGAAGGAAGTCTGAAGGTAGTTTTTATGTCGTGTCCAATCAAAAGGAGATGTATGGTCATTAGTGGCAATTTAATCTATTTAAACTGTTATAGCTGATAGGTATTTCCGTGGGTTGAAGAAAAGTCCAGTAAACTATTAATTTAATCTATCTAAACTGTTAAAGCTGATAGGTATTTCCGTGGGTTGAAGAACAGTCCAGCAAATTATGGGAAGTGGTTTTTAGTGGGTCGACCAGAACAAGAGCTATAAATTCCACATAGTCGTGGATTTTAGTTTAGGTGTGCGGAACAAGATCGTCATTATCAAGACCATCACCTACGAAGTTTAAAGCTGATAGGTATTTCCGTGGGTTGAAAAACAGTTCAGCAAACTATGAGAGTGGTTTTTAGTGGGTCGACCAGAACAAGAGCTATTAGTTCCACATAGTCTTGGATTTTAGTTCAGGTATCCGGAGCAGGAGCGTCACTATATCATTCCCTACGAAGTTAAAAGTTGAAAGGTATTTCCATAGGTTGAGCAGACTACCCAGTGGGCATTTCTTAGGACACATGAGTGTATTTCTTTAGGACATCCTTAGGACGTCTATGTCCGTTTTTAAGACATCCAAAAGACATCAAATGTCCGAAGGGTGTCTCTAGAATATTAGATAAACTTTGGACGTTTGTTGGACGGACACAGACATCTTAAGGATGAGCTAAGGACGTCCTAAAGGAATTCCATATCCCAGTGTCCACTGGGTATGGGAGTGGTTTTCAGTGGGTCTGCAGGATATCCTTTAGACGTTCCATTGCTATTAGCTAACCAATGACACAAATTATTCTCCAGCTCCCACTCAACACTAATTTATCATTCCTAATTCCTCTGCGTCCTAGAGTCTAGAAATAATCAGAGGAACTTCCAAACATCCGTGATCAATTCTCAAAAACTTTCAAACCTAAAATACTTGCCTTGCATTCAATTAATTTTCTCATCAATAATTCTACTCATTACTTTCAGATACTATGCGAACTACTGCAGAGGAGATTGCGCCTCAGGTCACAGGACGCCGGACACATTCCTCAACTATTATACGCACGTAATTGAGGAATACAGAAAAATGGATCGACTAGCCGGTATGCAGCCATGTTGTGCGCCTCTAAAGTTTTCTCCAATGTCCCTCATCTACTATGGACCCGATTCCAACATTATAAAAAGGGATTTGCCAAAAATGGTCGTCGACGAGTGCGGCTGTCCTTAAAGAGACTTCAGTACAGAGGCTCAAAGTGCTTCATGATCCAATGGAAGAAAAATACGATCCCCAGCGATCAACACTAAAGAAGAAGAAGATGAAGAAGGTCCAAAATAAAAATGTTTACGATTCGAAAATGTGACCCTATTGAAAATACGGTCCTAGTAGAATCGATGGTCCTTGATGGAGTAATTAAGGTTTCAAGTAAAAAAAGAAAAAGGGGTTTCTTTTGAAAAAAGTTGACAAGAAAATGGTTTAAAAAAAAATGGTAGAAAAAATAGATTGGAAGGAAAAGAGTAAGAAGAGGATTTAAGAATTTAATGGAATTTGAGACAGGAGAAAGGGAATTAGGTCGAAGTGACTGGGATTAAGGTGAGCTGGGTGCAAAATATTAAAAAAAAAAATACCAGGAGAGCATGAATTTTTTCTTTTTTGGTCCCTTGGCTTCCCTTGTAAATAATTTCCTCTTTATCGCGCATACGAAATGAGAGAGATTTTTGGAGGTTCGGAACTGCCAGGGACCAGGCACTCTGGCAATAAAATAAAAGATATTGCGTGAAATCCCCCATTTCGCACGAGCGAATCGCTAGAAGTTTAGGATATTCTAGGTAAGTGGGCGATTCGTTCGTGAGTGTAGGACAATTTTCTTTTGTCCCGAGAGGATGTAGCTAGAATAATGAATTTGAGCGCGAATTAAAATTTTCAAAGAGAGTTAACGAAGTGGACAAAATCACAAATTAATAAATAGGGTAATTGCAATAGTTTTCTAATTTTCTTTTTCACTAAATTTTCACAATTTCTTTTTCAATTCTTTAGTTGAAATCATTCATTCTCAATGGTGGAAAAAAAAATTTAATTTAAATCGAAAAGCTTCTGTTTTTACTGTTAAGTGCGATATTTATTGAAATTTAAAAAGGAAATATTTTAAAAAGTTACTTTATTGATAAGTTTATTAAATCTTTAGAAAAGAAAAAAATCTCTATATTCTTTTTCATCAAGACTGATTATGTGCTTTTCAATCGCGGAATATAATTTGTTCCCATGTTATGAAAAATTATGAAAAAATTTTAATAAATTTTTCTGGTAGGGAAAAAAAATTTCTTTAAAAAATTGTTTATTGTTCATAAAAAAAAAAAATACGAAAATTTTAGTGAGTTCGGGGCGAGAAAATTGTTACTAGGCTAGTATAAAAAAAAATTCAGTAAGGTAAATTTTTTTTCGGTAAATTTTGAAAAATTTTTTCAAAGAAAATAAAATTTTATAATTACTAAACAATTCTTCCAATCCACTAAAAGTATTCAAGCATCAAATTTATCTTAATTAATGAAAAAGTTGTTTAATCCTAGTCTGAATTAAACAATAATATATTTAATGTTTAGCGAAATTTTTTGCGTTTCAAAAATAATTCAAAATTTGAAACGTTTGTTTCGAAAATCAATCTAGATTTTTGGCAAAAATAGGAAAAATTCTTCCAGAAAAAAAAAAGTATCTGGATTTTTTGAAAATTGTGAGTAGATATGTTATTTATTCTCCTGTTGCATAATATTAGCAATTTTAATTAAATTTTAAATCATTTTTTAATGTGACAGGAAAATTATCTTAAATCTAAAAAAAAGGTAGATAAAATTGTGCTTCTTAGAAAAATAAAATATGTTAGAATTAAAAAAAACTAGGTTTTTTGAATACTTCTTAAGAGTTCTTCCAAACAATCAAAAAAAAAATAAATAAATAAAAATAAATATATATTAAATTGTAACGTTATTTTTCCAATGAAATATGTAAATAATGAGAACGTTTAAAAGACTAAAAATAATCCTAGTAATTAATTTAGGCATTGTTTTTAAATTTTTAGATTGTAAAATAAAGAAAACGAAAAAAGATAACTAGATTAGAGAAAAATTGGAACTTTTTTTTTTAGTTTAAAAAGAAATTAGAAATCAAATTCGTAAATTTCTTTCTGATTAGTAGCGTAGGTAGAAAATTTTTTTATTTTTGATTTATAAAAATATAAAATTAGTAGTAGGTGCATTTTTCTCTTTGACTAATCTTAAAGTAGAAAAGATGGAAACTCTTCGATTTTTTTTTGTGCAAAAATAAAAGAAAAATTTCCACATTAATTGGTGTGATAAAATTTAGAATTAAAAAGAAGGTTTTTTGAAAATTCTTAACTAATGCAGTTATCCTATTGAGAATATTAATGTCACGAATAAAAAGAACGAAAATCGAAAAAAAGTAAAAGCTGTGAAAGAAAAAAAAAAGAAAAGAATTCTTTAACGAGAGCTTAGTCTTTTTCTATTAGTTTGCAAAAGTACTTCACGAGTATATATGTATATACAAGGTGATCCATCTGAGTAATGATATATATTATATATAAATATATATATTATATACATAAAGAAAATGCGATTAAGATTTAAGTGTAAACAATGAAAAACTCAATCTAATTGCCTTGTTTTTTATGCGAAACGTATGAAAGTATCGAGTAACGATTTAAAACAAAAAAAAAAAGTCGGAACACTATTAAAAAGTCTATATATATAAAAATATATTATATATATGCGCGAGGATTCAAAAAAAAAAAAAAAACTCGGCGCGGCAGGGCGGATGATAATTAAGAGTTCAAAAAGCTAAGAGAAAAAAAAATTATTAAATAATAATTTATGAATAATGAAAGCGAAAGGAGAAACAAGCAACAACCTTTATAGGGATTAAGCAGCGTAATAAGTAAGTTTTGAAAATTTTACAAAGCATGTTGAATTACCCGACATCTCAAAGATCGAGTCTGCACTCTAAATAAATTTTTAGGGCATTCCGTAAGTAAGTTAACTTATACGTACGAGAAAAAAAAACTACTAATATATTGCAAAACAAAAAAAAAGATAATAATGACCCTTAAAATTAAAAATTAAAAAAAAAATGGTCAAAAACTGATTCTACGTAAAACTTTAAATAATCGAAAAAAAAGAGCGAAGTTGATAATAAACGAAGAAAACACGTGACAATAATAATGAGGACATACAGGCTCGTAGGACTGACTTTTTACTTTCCTTTGTTCGTCAAATTGGACTCGAATTCCTTTCTTTTTCAAATTTATATAAAAAAAAAAAACATGTGTATATTGTTGAAAAAAATAATTAAAAATAAAAAAAATGAAGAGAAGCGCGACGAGTGTGTCAATGTTTTTTGTCCGTGTGCGAATGAACGATGAAAAAAAATTTTTTTCTTGCTAGAGCGAAAGGGAATTTTTTGTTTTCTAAAAAATGTTAAAGGAAATTTTTCTGAATGTTCTTGAATAAAAAAAAAAAAATCTCAATAAATATTGAAAAGAGAGCGAAAGTTATAAAAGTGATTTTAAAGGTATATTCAATTTTGTGGGATAGTTCGTTACCCACGCAGCCTTACTGGGCCTTATTAAGGTATTATCGCATAATTACTAAATTACTATTTAAAATAAACGAAAAAAAAAAATTACAATATTTACGCTACTTCAATATCCCAGCGCAAAAAAAAAAAAACTTAAACTTAAAACTACCGTCTTATAAGCGATATTTGATCATCGACTTTTTTCTGAACGAGAACATGTGAATTGTTAAACAAACAAAAATGTAATAATAATAATAATTATAATAATAATAATAATAGTAATAACACAAAAAAAACATGCCAAGTCTTCTGGTTTTTATAGCCAGAGAAGGAAACCATTGCGTCCAAAAAAATTAAAAAAAAAAAAAAAAATGTTAAAATTAAGAACGACTTTCAATTCTTAGTGTTATTACGAATGGTTGCAAAATACTGTTAAAGAAGATAAAAATCCGTTAATAACAGTAAAGGACACATGGCAAAAATGATCGAAAAAATGATTAAGGGGGGTTCACTGGTTGTAACTGAAAAAAGGGATTTAAAAAAAAATTTGTTTATAATCAATGAAATTTAAAAAAAAATATTTAGAGCCTTTGTCTAGAGGTTGAATTACAAAAAAAATTAATTTGACGTACAACAGTTTTATTGAAAAAATAAAAAAAAATTTTTTTTTAAATATTTAAAAAATATTTATTTTTGTCCAGCAGAGGCTGGAAAAAAATGAGGCTTTCGTGTTGAAAATTACAACTGGTGACTCCCCCTTAAGTTTCCCGACTATCAATTCTAAAAGGAAAAAAAAATTTCTTTCAAATGAAGGAGCATTATTTTTAAAAAATTTTTACTGCAATGAAATTATTGTTGAATTTTTGATCAAGAAAAAAGAAAAAAAATATTTCCCATATAAAACATTTATATATCATGATGATTTAGAAAACTCTTGCTAAATTATTATTATTATAGAGGAAAATTGTAAAAATAAAAAAAAATACAAAATGAAATGTATATAAAATATCAATGTGTATAAAAGTGTAAAAATCAAACCTCCCCCCCCCTCCCTTCAAAAGAAGAGAAATAAAATTAAAATTAAAAAATAAAAAAAAATATTAAATAAACAAAATTAATATTGTGGTAGAAATTTATTAAAAAAGCACCTTCAGAACGAAAAAAAAAAAGATTTAGTATTGAAGATTTTTCCCCTTAAAATTGATAATTGAGAATAATGGACACGAAGTTACAGGAAGAATAAAAATAAGTTAAGCAAAACGGGAGTAGAGGAAAGGAAGATTTTTTCCAACTCAAAAAAAAAAAAAAAAAAAAAAAAATAAATAATTTTTCAATGAAAAAAAGGACGAATTTTTACAAGAAAAAGAAAATTTTTTTAACGAAAGATTTTTCTAAAGAAAAGTTTCAAAAATGGCCTTTTTTCCTCAAAAGGGATATTCTTGGCAAATTTAAGCGAAAAGAGAACTAAGATAATAAAAAAAAATAAAAAAAAAAAAGTAAACGAATTTGACGATAAAACAAAAAACACTTTTGAAGCCTTTACAAGCTCAAGCGCAATTAATTGTTTACGAGATCCAATGATCCACTAACCCCCTCCCCCCACTCCCTTCCCAATCCTCCTCCCTAAAATTAACTATTGTATAAAAAAAAAAATGTCACAACCAATGTGTTTAAAGGGGAAAAAAAACACACACACACACAAAGCTACATTAAACGTATTATTACAAATGAAACGAAGTATTCGCGGCTTTCGAACTAATTCCTCGGCTTTTTTGACTAAAGGAAACTTAATAAGAAATCAAAAAACTAAAAAAAAAAAATTTAAATAAAAAATACCAAAAAAAATGATACTCTCAGTATGTAAGAAAAGCAATTAAATAAAAAAAACAAATATTTAATTAATTCATTAAGATTAAAAAAAAAACGGAAGAAAGTGATAATAATTGTGAGAAAATAAAAAAAAAATGTGAGTGCAAGAAATTTTCGTATCCAGATTGTAAAATTGGAAGTATTAGCGATTGTGAGAGAAAAAAAGAGAATGAGAAAGAGAGAGAGAGAAGGAAAAATTAGTTGTAAAATTTTGAGAAGAAAGAAAAATGATTAATTATTAGGGTGGTTCTAATTTAAAGGTTAATTCTTAAATTTTGAATTTTACTTAAGCTATATTTGATCCGCAATTTTGAATTTTAATAATCTGACTTTATATTTGTAATTAGCGACCCCAAAAACCCCCGAGTGATATATTTAAGCTAATTTTACTGATTTCTAGTTGTATCGTTCACCATATTGGATCCGCCATTTTGAATTTTGAAAATCTGACTTCAGATTCGTAATCAGCGACTCCGAAAACCCCCGAGTAACAAGTTTCAAGTGAATTTAATCAATTTTAAAAATACGTCCGCCATATTGGATCCGCCATTTTGAATTTTGAAAATCTAACATCAAATTCGTAATTAGCGACCCCAAAAACCCCCGAGTGATAAGTTTTAAGCAAATTTTTTGAGTTTTCAAAAATTCGTCCACCATATTGGATCCGACATTTTGAATTTTGAAAATCGGACATCAAATTCGTAATTAGCGACCCCAAAAACCCCCGAGTCATAACTTTCCAGCTAATTTCACTAATTTCAAATTTCGTCATCCGCCATATTAAATCCACCATTTTGAATTTTGCAAATCTGACATCAAATTCGTAATTAGCGACCCCAAAAACCCCCGAATCATAACTTTCCAGCTAATTTTAATAATTTCTTATTTTGTTGACCGCCATATTGGATCCGCCATTTTGAATATTGAAAATCTGAGTTTAGATTCTTAATCAGAAACCCTAAAAACTCTTATATACCTAATTTCTCAAAATTTGTACGCCATATTGGATCCGCCAATTTGAATTTTAAAAATCTATACTCATCTTCGTAATTAGCGACCCCAATAACCCCCAGAGGGAAAAGTTCTAAAACAATTTTACTGATTTTTCATTTTTACTTCCGCCATATTGGATCCGCCATTTTGAATTTTTAAAATCTGACACCAACTTCGTAATTATTAACCCCAAAAACCCCCAAGTGAGAACTTTCAAGCTTCAGTTAGTTTAATAATTATAACTCGGGGGTTTTTGCTGTCAAAAAATACGAATTTGGTGTCAGGTTTCCAAAATTCAAAATGGTGGATCCAATATGGCGTAAGTAAAATTAAAAATCAGTAAAATTAGCTTAAAATTTATCACTCGGGGGTTTCTGAGGTCGCTGATAACGAATTTGACATCAGATTTTGAAAATTCAAAATGGCGGATTCAATATGGCGGACGACGAAATTAGAAATTAGTCAAATTAGCTTAAAACTTATCACTCGGGGGTTTTTGGGGTCGCTAATTACGAATTTGACATCAGATTTTAAAAATTCAAAATGGCGGATCCAATATGGCGGACGACGAAATTAGAAATTAGTCAAATTAGCTTAAAACTTATCACTCGGGGGTTTCTGAGGTTGCTGATAACGAATTTGACATCAGATTTTGAAAATTCAAAATGGCGGATCCAATATGGCGGACGACGAAATTAGAAATTAGTCAAATTAGCTTAAAATTTATCACTCGGGGGTTTTTGGGGTCGCGAATTACGAATTTGATGTCCGATTTTCAAAATTCAAAATGTTGGATCCAATATGGTGGACGAATTTTTGAAAACTCAAAAAATTTGCTTAAAACTTATCACTCAGGGGTTTTTGGGGTCGTTGATAACGAGTTTGACATCAGATTTTAAAATTTAAAAATGGCGGTACCAATATGGCGGTACAATGGAACTAGAAATCAATAAAATTAGCTTAAAATTTGTCACTTTGGGGTTTTTGGGGTTGCTAAGTACGAATTTCATTAAAATATGAAAAAGAAGAACCACCCTATTAATTATTATGTTAGTGAAACAATCGAGTCAATCGACATGACGTATGTATATATAAATACAAAAATATACAAAATATATTTATGTACGACTTTTTATTTCTATACTATACGTTGAAAAATCGTACATCTATATAAAAATGTATAGTTTTTCAATCTTTTTTTTTTTTTTTTTTTTTTTTTTTGAACCGGCCGTCGATTAACTTCGATCTCATATAAACAGGTGCAATTGAAACTCGAAAGACTTACACGTTTGTATCATGTATAAATATGTACAGGGCCCCTGGAAAAAAGTTTTTTCGTGTAATTGTTAGTTGATTCCTCTCCGTTAGTTATATATATACGTATTTATCGAACATGTACTGACCTACTTTATCCCAAAAAAAAGGGGTTCCAGAATCTTTTTTTTTTATACATAATTCCTGCATTCCAAAATCTTATGTAATAATAATGAAAAAAAATAAAAATTCTTTCCTTCTCTTGAAATATTTTATTTTAAGAGGAGGAAAGGATTTTTTTTTTAAATTTGTTTTGGAAAAAAAAATATTTTGTTTCTGGTTGGAATGTGAATTTTGCTTGTTTGAAATAGCTTTTTTGTGGAATTATTTTCAAAGGGACAAAATTATTTAAAATTATTCAAACTTGGAGATTATTTCAGTTTGGATTTCAAAAACATTTCTTCAAAAATGTTAAGGAGGGAAATTTTTTTTTTTTTTTTTTTTTTTAAAGTTAAAATGAAATGTTGACCGTTTTACCTAATGTATTATCACTATGGACATTTCGAGTTTCAGGGCGAGGGACGTACGAAAGAAAAAGAAAGATGAGAACTAACTGCGCATTCTTTTATACACTAATCTGATTGGTGGACAATTATTTTTCACCCAATTGGATTGCATAATTCTTCTTCTAGTCCAAAGGCATGCGCAGAGAGTGGTTTTCCCCCACTTCTAATCGAAAGGAGAGAAAGACGAATGAAAAGCGAAAAAAAAAATGAGAGAAAAAAAATGGCGAATGAAAGATGAAGAAAGAGTGCGAGAGAAAAAAAAAGATGAATGAATGTAAAATCTCATGTTCCTCTCAAGTCGTACGTGTTCTCCTCGAGAACGAGTCGATATCGATTTTCTGCCAATTACTGCATTTCCTATAAATTTTTCCTTTTGATCGATGAAACGACAATGAACGAGGATCGTTAACCGCCACAAAAAAAAAAAAATAAAAAAATAATAATAATAAAAAACAGTCGACCGTTTACAAAACCTCGGCATTCGCTATTAATTTTTGTCGATTTTATCTTAAAGTATCTAAACTTTACTCTACTTATTGGTTATATTTGTGGATTCAAAAATCAATATTGCAGGTTATTATATTTCAAATGAAATGCAAAAAACAAATTAAGCGAATTAAAAAATAAAAATACTGGAAAAATACAAAAACAGTTCGAACATCATTTAATAAACCTTATCTCATTTGATTATAAAAATGAAAAAATATGTAAAACACTTTCTCGAAGGTACATTACTTTCGTCATGAAATTACAAATTAAGAATAAAGATTCATGTTATCAAACAAATTTTTGCGGTATGAATGCAAACAAAAGCAAAAAAAGAAAAAAAAACAACTTTAAACCCTGTATTCCAATTTCTGGCTTTTATTACTATTGAACGATTTTCAATTTAAATAATTATGTATTAGGCTATTGTATTGTTCTTACCAAGCTTGAAAAGAAATTTTTTAACAATAAAATATTATAAATACTACTCATGTTATACGTTTTTACTTGTAAAAAAATGTCATTGATGGGTTTTTTTTAATTCTGGAAAATTTTAACCCTTTAGGTGTTTAATTTATTCTTGTACTCTACTTTTAGGTTTAGTTTATAAAAATGTTGAGGTAAGTAACTTTACTTTAAAAATGATTCAATTTATCAAAAAAAAAAAAAATTGAATATTTTTGCATACAAAAAAGTTTTTTTTTTGAATAGATTGTAAATTTTATTTCAATTATTTTCAAAAAATATTCGAAATATTCGAAATCAAGTATTTAAAAACTTTTATAAAACTCTTCGCAAGAATTAAATTATTTTTATAAATATTTAAATTCTTTCATGAATAATAAAATTCTTTGCTGGAATTCAATTTATTAGCAGTAAGATAAGAAAAAAGTTTAATTTTTGATGAAAATTAGGAAAAAGTTTTGTAAAGTGTCTAAAATAAGTTTTTTTGGTCATCAAGTTTAATGTTTCGTTAGCTATGTACTTTTTTACTAATTTTTTATTTTATTTTAAAAGATACTTTTTGCTACTTTTTTTAAAATTAATTAACGAGTGCGAAGAACAGAACATTAAGAATGTTATCGTTCAATCATAATATTCTAAAGTAATTTCTACCTTATCTTCTTACATTCTATAATTTCTACCTTGAGTTGATAAAGAAATTTTCTTCAGATTTCATCGCTAGTATAAAATATTACTTTATAGGAACTTTTTAGAACAATATTTCACTGCTTAAAACATGCCTTCAGATTTATTACTAATTTTTTTCTAAAAGTAATACATACGTTACTGTCTTTAAAAATATTTTAACATAAAAAAATAAAATACAGAGAAATATTATATTTATATATATATTCACAAAGTAAATTCTAAAAATTAAAATAGAAATAAAAAGTAAATAATTACAATTAATTCAAGTAAATTCTTTGTGGAAAGTATTTTTTTTTATCTTTTTACAATTGATGTTATTGTCGTTTACAAAAATTTATACACAGTATGAAAAATCATTCTCTCATTCTCACATATACGAAAGTTTACACATTTACAAAGGCATTATATTTTTTAAAAAAAAATTTTTACATCACAAATTGACAAGTCAAATTACTATTCATAATTATATTATCATTGACATCGTCTTTAAAAAAATATATTTCACATATTCGCCTATCAAGAACTATTGTTTAATTGTTTATAAATTATAACTTATTAAATATATATTTTTGTTTTAATCTTTTTTTTTTTGAAATAATTATTCTTTCTAAGTTAAGATTTTGTCAATTACAAAAAAATAATTTATTTATAATTTTAAATTAAAAACATATTATATAAATAAGACATACTTTAAAATTTTAAATTATTACATAATACCTTCTTTGATTTTCAAAACCTTTTTCCACTACTTAATAATACTTAAGTTTCCTTTAAGTAAATCACTTATTGTAAATCCATCGGATTTAAAAAAAAAACATTTATTTACAGAATTTTATTATTTAAATATTCTTTTTTTTTTAGTCATTAAATAACGAAAATAATGAATAAGATGGTGTTGAAAATGAAAAGAGAATTTTAAAAAACAATGAAACAATAAATATTTCATATTTTTGTCTTTGGAAATTTTTTTTTTTTTTTTTGCAAAAATAAATAATTTAATTCTTTTTTTGTCTTTTGATATATGATTTGCAAAGTCAAAGTATCTATTTGTTTCGATAATATTTTTAAATTATTTCTATTTTTTAAAGTCCATTTCTCAGAAAAAATGATATTGGCAGTCTTCGGAATGGAAATCCATTCTATGTTATAATCTTGAATAGTAGAAAATAATTCAAAGTCCTAGTTTCATTTAATTAAAATCACTGCTATTTTTTATGATAAAAAATTTTCTTTTTTTTTAAGAATTTATTACGTAAGTTATCCAATCAACGGTTTTGGCTACTCTATGATAAATCCCTGGCTGTCCTGGTTGAGCGCAAGAATATCCGGCTGATACTATTCCAATCAGATACCATCTTCCCGTTTTTTCCAACATTAATGGTCCTCCACTGTCGCCCTAAAATTAATTTCAACGTTAATAAAATTATAAGGCAAGTAATCATTTTTTAAAAATTTTTTTTAATTTCGCACTTCGAAACTTCTCCTTTTTTATTTTTCTCATTGTCAAAATTAAAAATAATAATATCACAGATGTGAAAAGAGATAAAATGATTATAACAGATTCATTCATAAAATACAGTCTTGTTTATTTTCTTTCAGAATAAAAAAAGAAATTGTAAAACAAAAACAAAAAAAGCGGAAACGGAATATATGAATAATTCATATCCAATTGTTAATTTCAAGACATCCTTTTTTTTCACATTCATTTTACCTGACAAGAATCTTTGCCACCGCCACGATAACCAGCGCACATCATTTCATCATAAATGACAACATTAATTCCATTAGAACGATGCCACCTTTCACAAACTCTATTGTCAATAACTGGTACATCTACAGCTTGGAGCGTTTTTGGCCTTAATCTCGAACCTAAAAGAAAGTTCCAAAATATATATATATATAAGTCATTATGTTGAAATTAATTGTCGCTGAAATTTTTTTACACTACTTTTGTTAGAAATGTCAATCAGTTAAAAAAAAGGGGATTTGCTCAAACGAAACTTGACATACTAAGGATGTCTTTGGATTTGGTTAAAAAAATTTATTTTTTATAATTAAAGTACAATAGACTTAAAAAAGAAGTTTTTTATTTTAAAATATTACTTCTACCTTAAATCTACGATTTTGACTTTTGATATTGGATCCATTATTTTGGATTTTGGAAATCTGACTTTAGATTCGTAATCAACGACCCTAAAAACCCCTGGATACCAAGTTTTATAAAAATCGACCTAGTTTCTTAAAATTCGACTGCTATATTGGATCCGACATTTTGAATTTTGAAAATCTGACTTTGGATTCGTAATCAGCGACCCTGAAGACCCCTGGATACCAAGTTTCATAAAAATCTATCAAATTTAACAATTTCAGTCCGCCATATTGGATCCGCCATTTTGAATTTTGAAAATATGACTTTGGATTCGTAATCAGCGACCCTAAATACCCCTGGATACCAAGTTTCATAAAAATCGACCTAGTTTTTTAAAATTAGACTGCCATATTGCTTCCGCCATTTTGAATTTTGAAAATCTGACTTTGGATTCGTAATCAGCGACCCTGAAGACCCCTGGATACCAAGTTTCATAAAAATCCAACTAGTTTTTTAAAATTAGACCTCCATATTGGATCCGCCATTTTGAATTTTGAAAATCTGACTTTGGATTCGTAATCAGCGACCCTAAAAACCCCTGGATACCAAGTTTAATAAGAGTCCACATGGTTTTTTTAATTTGTCCGCCATATTGGATCCGCCATTTTGAATTTTGAAAATATGTCCTACTTTGCCTACGAGGAGTAATTATTTAGATATTCTGACCGGAAAACAATGCATATTTTATTGTTACGCTTCCGGATCGTTTTATTTTTTCTTTGATACAAGTAATTGAGGAAAAATATTTCCATATCTAGCGCAAGTATAATTTTTCAGATCTATATGCAGCATAATGAGTGTATAGACGGGAATATTGTCGAGTTTCTTGATAAAGGAAAATTGTATTTTATAAATGAGTAATTACCCGCTTGAAGAGCTCCCCAACCTGCAGCCCACCCGTATTGTCCTAAGAAATCTTCATTTTTTTCCGGTAAGCAAATTGGTGCTATATGAGGCATGTAATGAACCGGTCGATCCAATCTGAGCACAGCAACATCAAATCTAAGGATGGTAAAAAATTACGTCAAATATAATTTACTATTAATGCTAAGCGAGCAATTTTTTTTTTTGGTTATTTTTTAAATTTTATTTCTAGAAACAAAAATATTTGATAAAGTTAGGTAAAGTAATTAAACTTTATTACAAATATTGATAGTTTTAGATACACTACTATACTTTTTTTTTTTTGAATTTACCTATCTGCTTGTGGAGTAAATTTAAAATAAGGATGCACTCGAATTTCCCTCACTCCAAATGTGTAGGCAGGAAGTGATTCCGTTGCAGAATTCACAACGTAATCACCAAGTGTGACCTGTACTTGTCTTGCTGATGCCCTGAAAAATATTTAATTTTATTATTAGAAAATTTGTATAGGATACCCTAAAATAATTTAAAGGTACTTTTAGAGAAGTTAGCTTTATTAGAAGTTTGCTTTATTAGAGAAAAATTTTACTTTGTAAGAAAATATTATTTTTTAGATAGAATCCGTATAAGGATCTTCTTTATTATTTAAGTAATTGATGCACTCACTTGGCAACACAGTGACCAGCAGTTACCACGTGAAAACGGTTCACCAACGTTCCTCCACATCTACTGGATCCAATTCTAATATATGCCTAGAAGCATTTTTTTGCAGTTATGTACAAGTATTCATTATTTTCTCAATTAGCACAATTAGACGGTTTTTTTTGTCAAAAAGAAAATTTTCATTGTTCAATACCTGCCATGGAAAACTTCCAAAACCAGCTTCGTCACCACCGACAATTCTTCTTTGAGCGGTTTGTTTCGTGGCCGATATTCCACAGCCTGCAACATCATTAAATCTTAAAAATATTTAAAACATTTGCAAAACTAATATAAAAAATTGTCTTTTTTTATCATAAAGAATATGATATAGTTTGTTGCAGTTTCTTCACTACTGCAAAATTGTAAGGGAGTAGGAGACATGTGAAAAGTTTTTACGAGATTTGAATACTTATTTGAAGCCCTTTAGAGTCTGGATTAAAATTTTTGAAACGCGCCTCATTAGTCCATTGCTGAATGTGATGGAAGTCAGAAGTCATCCTTTATTCAGGAAATAAGTTCCAAAATGGAACAATCTAATTCTCAAGATTATTTATAAAAAAAAGGATTTGTAATTTAAACAATCGAATAAATTAGATGCTAGAGCCATTGTCAGTCGTCAATATATTTATGACAGTCAGAAGCCATCCTTCATTGCAGATGGAAGATCCAAGATGGAACAATCTAATTCTTAAGATTATTTATAAAAAATGATTTGTAAGTTATACAATCGAATTATTAGATGTTATTCACGTTTTGTTTGTTTGCATTAAAAAAATTCCATCTGTCTGACATCAGATCTTGTTCCCTCCCTCGTAAGATGAGAAAAAGTATAATTATTTACATATACATATTGCTAGGTTCAAAACACAAAAATCTAACTTATATATTATGTCAACCATTTTATGAATTTAAAACAAATATAAATTATTATTGATGAAACATTAATTGTAACGACAAATGGATTGATAATCAATGTGTATAATACATGCGCCAATGATACTTAATTATAATGAAAAATGACGGTTATTAAAAATGTTATATTCTATAAATAATTAAGGTGACAATGCACTGTGCGCCTGACAAACGTAAAAAGTTTCCTTGAATAAACGAAGTTGTTTCATTAATTAATTTTCTCAAAATTCAAATACGATAAATTCACAATTTTTGTCAACAATAAGACATCATTTTGTCATACTGCAAATAAATTAAGTAAACATAAAAATTTCTTTGTTACGCAAAGTAAAATAAAACTTATTAACACGCATTAAGCTGGAGCACTTTGAAAATTTACAACATTTTAAAAAGAAATTAAACTTTTAAAAAAAAAAACTCGTAAATGTTGTTCTAATTGGATAACAATGGAGCAACGTTGCATGCAATTATTGAGAGCGAAAAAGAGAGTAAGAGAGGGACGTAACTTTCAGTCAATCGTCAATTAATCGAGTCAATGACTGCAAAATGTTACTTTGTATTCGAGTAACCAAAAAGGGGATACGCAAAGGTAATCAAGCGATTTTATACTCTATCCATTATAATGCCAGCCTCTCGAGGTAAATAATACAACAAGAAGAAAAAAAATAATTTATATCGTTCATTATAAAGTAATTTTGAATTGTAAATTATTACCGACAACACTTGTAGCACTTAACCTTTTTCTCTTTCATTCGATCGACATTATATATTGCACTTAGCACAGATAAATATTTTTAAAAACCAAAATAAACTGTTGCTGCTGCTGCTGTGCGGGTGTAAAATAAGAGTTGGGAGTTATTTTTAGAAAGTGCAATGATTAAAGGAGCACAAGAGTGAAATCGATTTTAACGATATAATTCTTTAATACACCAAAATTAGAAGAAGATAATAAATAAAAGACTGCTATCTTTGGCGAACACTGTTCTTTAGAGGAAAATTTCAAATACAATTGAATTCTACTATCCACTTTGGATAGAGGAGACATCAGAGTAACAGTGCTCACTCCGAATACTTCAAATTAAAAAAGATTTGTAATTCATACAATCGAATTATATTTTCAATTTTGGATACAAACCAAAAAATTTGTTTATGAATGCAGATTTGATTTGTAAATCAGTCATCAATTAACCATCAGCAGAGTAATACTGATCAATCCGAATACTCATAAACAGAGTAAAAATTGTATTAGAGATGCAGATGTTATTTGTAGATCAGTCACTAATTAACCATCATCAGTGTAACACTGTTCACTCCGAATAGTCCTAATTAAAAAGGTTTTTGTAATTTATACAATCGAATTTCATTTTCCATTTTGGATATCAGAGTAAAAATTTAGAGATACAGATATTATTTGTAGATCAGTCATTAATTAACCATCATCAAAGTAATACTGATCAATCCAAATACTCAAAATTAAAAAGGATTTGTAATTTATACAATCGAATTCCAGCATTCATTGTGGATGGCAGAGAAAATTTTTTATTAGAGATGCAGATATTATTTGTACATCAGTCATTAATTAACCATCATCAGAGTAATACTGATCAATCCAAATACTCAAAATTAAAAAGATTTTTGTAATTTATACAATCGAATTTCATTTCAATTTTTGGATACAAACCAAAAATTAGATTAGAGCTGCAGAAAATGATTTATAAATCATTCATCAACAAAACCTTCAGCGAAATAATAGCATTTACTCCAAATACTCCTGATTAAAAAATATCTTTGTAATTTATACAATCGAATTCCAATAACGTGCAGCAACGTGCGAAAGTGCGTTTTAAACAAAATATTATAAAAAGCATGCGACAGTAAATTCTTACCCGATTTTACGTTTATTCATTATTCAATTCTTTCAGAAATTTTATTGTGATTTTTTTGTTTTTTTTTGGTTTTAAGAAAACTTACGATCGTCATTTGGCGACTCTTCGGAGTAAGAATCCGTAGAGAGAAGTAGATTCTCTTCTCTAGCAGCATCGGCGAGATTATAATCGGAACTTGCCTTTGCGGATTCTTTGTTTCGATGACAACACGCGTACATTAATCCACCACAACTTCCGTCCAAGAAACCGGAAGACATCCAGCATAATAGAAAAAATTCACAGCTCCGTCCGTCAGTGCACAATGAATCGTCACCTTCCCAAACGGGTCTTTTTTGAATTCGCGATTCTGCACAAAATTTGCCAAAAATCACGGTACGCGTTCATTAAATTAATAATATTAAAAAACAAGTATTAATAAATTAATTTTGCAAAAAAATTTAATTGACAAAATCTTGTATGTTGTAATGAAACATACTCATCTTGCAGTCAATAGAAAAAAAGAGTGAAGTCTTCCAAAGCAATTACTTCCTTAATTATAAAATTAATTATTATGTTTATTAATTTTCTACTATTAATAGAAAATGATTGGCCTTTTTATGCGATTTCATAAGAAAAATTCTATTCAATGTGTATAAAAATTGCAATTCTCCGTTCTTGGTTATCTATAAAGGCTCGTTTAAACAGCTTTCTCTCTTGAATTCGATGAATTCAATGTATAATTAATAGTATAATTACTCTATCACGATAATGTAATGATAATTAAAAAAAGAAAATTAAAAAAACAAACAAGCCCATTAGGGGTCCTAAACATTTACTTTTTTTTTACTTTAAGAGCTAAAATTTAGAAAATATATTTAATAGTAAAACATTTAAGAAAACATACCGGTCTCAAGTCGCGGGTATTCGTTGATTAATTGCTTTCGGTGATCTGGAAAAAAATTTGAAAATAATATTTTTATTTTGATATTTGATGTTTGCCAATTAAAAATAATAGAGAGGAGAATCAATATGGTTGGTTTTTCGAACCACCTTAGATCGAGCTTAAAATCTCTTTATTCTCCTAAATAAAAATTATTTGTAATTTCTACAATCGAATTTTATTTTTCCCTTTGGATATAGAAGAAAAAATTTCGTTAAAGATGATGCTGATAAGATTTTTAAATTATTCATCAATGAACCTTCAGCGCAGTAACAATGTTTAATCAGAGTTCTCCTAATTGAAAAGAATTTTTTAATTTATACAATCGAATTTGATTTTCTATTTTGGATACTAGATAAAAAAATTTGACTATGGATGCAGATAGGATTTGTAAATCAGTCATCAATTAACCATCAGCAGAGTAACACTATTCAGTCTGAATACTACAAATTAAAAAAGATTTGTAATTCATACAATCGAAATCTATTTTCCATTTTGGATAGCAGAGTTAAAATTTTATTAGCGATGCAGATGTTATTTGTAGATCAGTCATTAATTAACCATCATCAGAGTAATACTGATCAATCCGAATACTCCAAATTAAAAAGATTTTTGTAATTTATACAATCGAATTTCATTTTAATTTTTGGATACAAACCAAAAATTAGATTAGAACTGCAGAAATTATTTATAAAAACATTCATCAACAAACCTTCAGCGGAGTAATAGCGTATACTCCTAATTAAAAAATATCTTTGTAATTTATACAATCGAATTTTACATCAGGAAATTTTAAGCTCAACCTAATTTAGGCCCAAAAATTATCCCTATTGACCCTCTTCCCTCTTCTACAATTCAAAAAAAAAAAAAATTCATTTGCAATCCCACAGTTTAAAGAACGCAAGCATAACAAATGAAATTAGTAATTTTAATGAAAATATGTATGTCAAAATATGAATTCGTAAAATATGGAGAATCAGATATGAAAAAATGTGTCTGATCGAAATCTTTGTTCTCCACTGGAACGAATGACGTATTGTCTGACAATTGAAATAAGATGAACTTGAACAGACAAGACAGGCGTGTCTAATGAAGTCTAATGAAAGTCTTATCAAAATTTTAACAGAAATTACATTTTTAAAAAGAGATAAACTTTCTCCTGGAATTACTAGATATTCTAAAATCGACATTCTTTAATATCTCCAAGTCTTCTTTTTATATTAGAATACCCTTTTAAGTATATTTTGACGCATTAACTAAAATTTAATTTATATTGCAAGAAATTTGTCCTAAAAATTAATATAAAGAAAACGTTTTAGTATTTACAAATAATAATAATAACACTTGGCAGAAATATTTATGTATAAAATAAAGTTTTATTTTTTACCAAATGGAATAGAAATGAAATTGGAATTAGCATTTGATTTCACACTGTTCGAAATAGTGCGGTTTTTTGATTAACGGAAATTTAGAGAGTATAAATTTTCCATTTAGTGAAAGTGAATAAATACGTTCTAATTAAATTGAATTGTTATCATTGACTTGTAAAGATTTACATAGAATGGAAACAATTCTTTGATGCATTCTAGTGAACATTTTCACTACACTTAACTCTCGCTAAATGATAGCCTTGAGTTAGAGAACAATCCAGTCGACCTTCGATAACAATCGACAATTATTGTACGAATCCACTAAATTTTTTTTCTTTCTGCATAGACAATTGAGGTAAAATTGCAAACAAAAATTTGCAGAAGTTAATTTTCTTTGTTGACTAATTATCAATTAGACTGTGCAGATTTTTTTCTTTCAGGTATCTCTCTAGTTTGTAAATAAAAGTGGATATCTAGAAATTCACAAACGATAATGAATAAAATAGTATTGAAGGTGATCGAAATAGCTCAGAAATTCACCTGATATCTGTTTCTTTGTTTTATTTAACTATTAACGTCATCTGAACAAAACGTTTGCTTCCATTTCTCAGGAACAATGAAAATTAATTTTTATTTAATTCACCACCATTGATGGTATCATGTCAATAGATTTAAAGTTAGCAATTACTTCGATAGGAATCATTTTGCTAAGAATCGACGGAGTTCCAAAAACTTTTCGACGTTGTCCATTGACAGATTTAATTATTAGGAGTACTCGCATTTGCCTGGACCATATCTATTGGTGTGGTACATTTTAACTCTTCTAAGAATTTACTTCTAAGAATTTACTTCAAAGAATTTACTTCAAAAACCATTAATCGAGAACTACTTTAAAGCGGAATTAAGATGTTAATTAGAATATTAGTGCTAAGCAGATAGTAAGCAATGGTTAATCAAATTCTAAGGGGTTCGATAAGGAGATTACAAATGTTATCCATTTTATCCCCTGCTGGAATTTAAACTTATAACACAAAATTTACTCAATAGTAGAATATTTAGCCTCTATTAATCCCGCCCCTCCCCCCTGATAATTAAGAATTTAATTATTCACCGCTACGTACCTCGGATTTCCTCTTCAAGATCAGGAAGCTGATTGGATTGAAAGAAATTACTGCTGACTCCATTACCGGTCGCGGCCGGAAAATCATTGTCGCGAAAAATTAATCTCGGCGTTCGATGACCCATGACTGGCCTGGTTAATTCAGCGATAGGTGGTCCCGAAACAGGAGGACGCCAAAATGATTTCTGTTGTCTCCAACTGGAGAATTGTGCCTGAGGTCCAAAACGCATATTTGCCAAGCCAATTGACCTGGGATGTTGTTGTCCCTCGAATGCATATCCAGGTCCACTTGGAAATCTGACAAATCTTCGTTTTCGAGATAAATTGAAATTTGAATCAGTTCGATTACTCTCTCTTGATAATGAATCTTGGTCAACTGCAATAATCGTTCCGAGAAATGGATCTGATGTGGGAAAATTTGTGGATAATTTTGTTTCGGCTATGAATGTACTTTCTTCTGTTGTTTGGCAAATTGTTCGAAGAGTCAGGATTATTCCTATGAGAAACCAGTGGCACGACTTCATCACCATCATAGTATTTCTAAAAGAAAATTTATTTATTTTAGTTAAATTATTGTGAATTTTTAATAATGGTGGTTTTATTATTCAAAGGGGATTTTCTAATCATATAGTTCACTGCGAATACTCCCAACTAAAAAGGATTTGTAATTTATACAATCGAATTCCATTATTCATTGTGGATGGCAGAGAAAATTTTTTATTAGAGATGCAGATATTATTTGTACAACAGTCATTAATTAACCATCATCAGAGTAATACTGATCAATCCGAATACTGCAAATTAAAAAGATTTTTGTAATTTATACAATCGAATTTCATTTCAATTTTTGGATACAAACCAAAAATTAGATTAGAACTGCAGAAATGATTTATAAATCATTCAGCAGCAAACCTTTAGTGTAGTAACACTGTTTGCTCCTAATACACATAATTAAAATGTATTTGTAATTTATACAATCGAATTTCATTTTTGGAAACAAATAAAAAATTTGATTAGAGATGCAGAAAGGATTTGTAAGTTAGTTAACAATTAACCATCAGCAAAGTAATAATGTTCAATCAAAATAATCATAATTAAAAAATATTTGTAATTTATACAATCGAAAAAAGAAAAATTTAATTAGTTGTGCAGAAATGATTTATAAATCATTCAGCAACAAACCTTCAGCGAAGTAACACTGTTCACTACGAATAGTCCTAATTAAAAGGCATTTGTAATTTATACAATCGAATTGTTTTTTCAATTTTATCGATATTAGCTAATTCCGGACTCAAAATCGTAAAACAAATAAAATAAATTATTAAAACAGAAAATTTCTCTGGGAATTGGGAGTCACTGTCCTAATTAATTTATGCCCTAAGAATGAAACCCACGTGTTTATTAATTATAAATTAAAATCATTTGTTAATTAACATCAATTTATATTAAAGTACAATAGTAATTTATTTCTATAAATAATCATACAATAATAAAATCGATAACACTTATTAAAACACACAGATTGGAAATTCCATATATTGAAACTGAAACTTCCTGCATCGTCATGAATTTCGAAAGTTTCTCAATAAGGGGGAATTTCGTTTTATTCATTCAAATAGAGGAAATAGATAAATGATTTGTCATGACAGATATATAACTCGTTAATATAAACGAAAGTGATGCTGTCATATGTTAGAGGAATAAATAGTAAATAATCTCTATGGAAAACTAGAACACTATCTCTTTATTAATTATTACACCAAACTCCTAGATATATAAACTAATATTTATTAATCAACACTTTCATCTAATTCGATCTTTCTCTTTTAATTCCTTTTCTCTTCATTTCATTCAATTCATTTTGGAGAAAAGAATCTAATAATCTGATAAAATCGTGCATTTCGATAATTTGAACAAATTTATATTTATTTTTTAAATGTATATTAAATATTAATTAGTTCGGAAATAATAATTATTAATCATAATTTGCAATGTAATTAATTTAATTAATATAATTAAGATTATAATGGCAAAACTTCTGGAATGGACAATAATTAGTTTAAAAATAAAATAGTAGTTTAAAATAAAAATTTGCTCTGGTTTATAAAACTATTTTTCATGACGCATTCAAATTTCCGCAACATTCTTGGTTAAAAATCATTAGTCACGAATTATTAAGAAATAGGGAAAGGAAAATTTAAATCAACTAATTATTTAATATATACATATCGTCGACTATAGAAATATTTACCAGAAGATAACTTTTCCTGATATTATAAAATCAACCACAAAATGAATAACAATTTTTACCCCTCATTCTGAATTTTGAGAAAACTTGACAATTAACAGCAAATGGATGTTATAACATATTCTATTATATAATAATGTCTTAAGTGATGACGCATATTCATCAGTTCGATGAACTCAGTGAAAAAAAAAGTTTTCGTGTGGAAAATTGTATAATATAATTTTTGCGTGGCAGGAGAAAAAAAATTGATTCTTTTCAGAATCAAAGAGAATTTCTTTAAAAATAAAAAAAATTGTTTTGAAGCCTCGGGGATTTGAGAGTGAAAAAAGAATATAAAGAGTGGTTCGAAATATATTATTGTATGTGTTTGCGTCATGTTATATAGAGGTAGTGTGCAATGAGTGAAAGTAAAAGAAGCTCTTCCCGGAACTGTTCGACGTTTACATTTTAAAAAGAGAGACACTCTTCCTTTTGGACGCACGAGTACTTTAAAACCACAAAGAGCATCCGCATTTATTACCACGATTGCCTCTCTCGATGAAAATGGTAAAGCACCTCTTTCTTGTCTTTGTGATGTAACAATTGAAAAAAGAAAAAAGGTTTTTCACCTTTCGCGTACAAAACATTATAATATTGACTTTCATTTTAAGTGTCTATTAAATCACACTTTCATAATTTATTATTTTGATAAATTTTATTTTCTAATTTTTATTCGTCTGATAGGAGTTGGTAATTTTCGTTTGGTTGTAAAATTAAAATTACATAATTCTTTTTCCCAAACAAAGAACCCACTGTCATTTAAAATTACACATTTTTTTCTTCCTTTGAATAAAAATCATCAACATTGTCTGGAACAAAATTTTCTTTTCTGATATTTTTCTGTATATGTTGTGTAACACTTTATGCTAATGAAACCAAAGAGAGGCGCTTATTGGTGAAAATGGCGAGTCTTGCAAGAAGTGTGATGATGAGAGGCTCTTCCCTGCATCCCAAACATGTGGTGAAAGTTTTGCGAATCAATTTATTTTCTTCATATATAACGAAAAAACATTTTTATCTCACGTAAAGAAACGTGATTATTAACAAAATTCACTCATGCACCAAATGCAGAATTGTTCATTTACTTGTTATTCTTTTTTTTTTTCTCATTCTTTCTTCATGTTGAAAAATTTTCACGGTACGTTTGCCATTTGGCAGTTAACAAGAGTTTAGCTATAATCAGAACGATTATTTCGATTTCTTTTGCGTGAAGTGAATTTACGATTAAGATGAAATTTATGAGACCGTTGCTTTCTTTAAACTGTGTGAATTACCACAAATAGTATAGTAAAAAGAAAATTATTTAAAATAAAGAGAAATGATTTTAATTTTATTATCATTCTTAATTTTTCCCAACATTACAATCTGCAAGTTTAACTAGCTGTGAATTTTTTATTTTTTCTTTAAAGATATTTCTGCTTCCTTGTTATATGATCTGCGAGAACGAGAAGATTTTCTTCTTCAACGGGTATAGAACATTAACTGTTTATGGGCATCTAATGAAAATTAGTATTTAAATTTTGTTTTTTTCTCTAGTGTTAATGAGTATAGGCGAAAAGAATTCTATCGCCATGTAAAATCGTTGAATTGTAATTATTTTTCATTGATTCATGTAAAATTAGATTAATATAATGGGAAAAAATATTGATAAACTAATTACTAATCCTTTCCGGTAAAATAAAGTTATAATTGTAGATACATTTCTGTAAATCCTACGAATTAAATAATTATGTTAGAAAAAAATTCAGGAAACGATACAAAAAGTCTTGTGAGGAATGAAATATACGTGTCGAGAAGAAAAAGCGTTACATAAGGAACTGGACGAACTGAAAATGAAACAAAGATATAAATCAAATTTTTTTTGCGGGAATACTCTATCGCAGTTTATTTTGGTCTTGCAATTTTTTTTATCGAAGAAAACTAATAGCGCAATGAACAGAATTCATGGTGGAGAAGAACAGTTACTTTTTTATGCAAATAACGAAAAGTTGAACTTACTTTATTGTTAGACAATTGTTAGGCATATATTTCTGACCGTCAGAAGCAATTCTTCATTGAAGATGGAAGATCCAAGATGGAACAACCTAATTCTGAAGATTATTTATAAAAATGATTTGTAATTTACCCAATCGAATTATATTCATTTTAAACTTATATAGGACAAGAAATTTTATTTGAGGTGCAGATATTGTTTGCAGTCATTAATCTATCTCCAACAGAGTAACACTGATCAATCCGAATAGTCCTAATTAAAAAAGATTTTTGTAATTTATACAATCGAATTTCATTTTAATTTTTGAATACAAACCAAAAGTTAGATTAGAGCTGCAGAAATGATTTATAACTCATTCATCAACAAACCTTCAGCGGAGTAACAGCATTTACTACAAATACTCCTGATTAAAAAATGTCTTTGTAATTTATACAATCGAATTCTTTTTTCCATTTCGGATACAAGATAGATGTTATTTGTAGATCTGTCATTAATTAACCATCATCAGAGTAATACTGATCAATCCGAATACTCCATATTAAAAAGGATTTTGTAATTTATACAATCGAATGATTAGATGGCAGACAATTGTTAAGCGTCAATATATTTGTTACAGAAGCAATCCTTCATTGAAGATGAAAGATCCAAGATGGAACAATCTAATTCTCAAGATTATTTATCAAATACTGTTTGTTAATTGTGGCCTTAGGTCCTAAAGACCTAAGGCCACAATTAACAAACAGTATTTGACAAAAATTAATACCAACCACACTGAAGCATTTGTAATTAGATTTGTGAATTCCTTACAATTTGTAATTAATTGTAATCACAAACTTAGAAACTTTTTTAGCAATCTAAGTCTTCTATTTTACAGCAAATTGCAATTGGTGTTGTAATTATGGGAGTGATTATAAGCACTACTTTGTAAAATTAAAAAATAATCTGCACTAGAATTGTAGCAGGAAGATCTATTTGAAAGGGAGACCTGGTGATTAAAATCGGAGTTGACTTTAACAAGCCGACTTTCACTGCAAGGGTCGTGAAAACCTTTTGGAAGCATATGTAAAGATCATCTGGTGAAGCAAACAGTGACACTTGAGATCCACGATCTAGATTGTCAGTCAAAGTGTTAGAAACAATTCCAAAGGAGCCGGGTAGCAAAAAAATGATTAATGTTCTGAAATCCTGTAATCGGAAGATGATAATCTAAAAAGTTGTGGTTATTGACAATGGTAGATTTCAGTAAAGTTAGATCCAGCA